TCCCGAGAGGAGAATGGAGGAGAAGGGATTGTGGCGTGGCCATCCCCCCTGGGGGGTGATTTCTCTCTTTCTGTCTCTCTGTCTCTGTCTGTCTGGAGACTGCATGTGCCCTATAGCAAAAACCTCTCCAAAAAAAGGGGAAAAAAAAAAAAAGAAAAAGAAAAAGAAAAAAAAAAAGTTGGAGAGGATATTTGGAGACTTTGGTGGCATTTCCTGTGTCCTCACCACACCTGCATGTCTTTTAGTCTCTTCTTAGGATCTGGACCTTTGGTGTCATTACTGAGACTCCGCCACATTCTAGGCAAAAAATATGTTTCTTTTTCTGCTAAAATAACAGAAATCTATTTCATGTGGTTACTTTCCTTTTTTTGTAGTTTAGACATTTGGCCTCCTGTTTCCCAGAATGACCCAAGAATCCCGAATCTGCTTCCCAAGCTCTGCCCAGGGAGTGTGTCAGCACTGGAGAATGGAGTGAGGGGGTCTAGCTCAGCCCAGAGAAAGAGCCCAGGGCACAGGCTGAGTGGCGTGTGTGTGTGTGTGTGTGTGTGTGTGTGTGTGTGTGTGCTGGGGCAGCACTTCCTCCCTCCACATCACGGAGACTCTGAGTTCCGGAGCACAGGCCTTGGGGACAGGCCCATGGGACACCCTCCTGAAGTCCAGCCCTTCTCTGCTCAGCAGGTAGCCACCCATAGCCACAGGAGGAAGGAGGACATTTGCATGAGGAGCCCCCCTCCCTCAGGATAAGAAAGGCCTGGGGGCCCTCCCCAGCTATAGGCTCAGAGGCAGAGCTCTGGGGAGTCTCCACCATGGCCTGGACCCCTCTCCTTCTCCCCCTCCTCACTCTCTGCACAGGTGCTGCCCCCAGGACTCAGCCCCACACAACCAGGGACCAGCCTGGCCTCACCTTCAGCTCAGCACAGGGAGTGCTACAGGGTGTGGGGCCCTCTGGGAAGGAGACCCTCAGTCTCAGGCTCCCCTCTCCTGTCCACTCTTGCAGGCTCCGTGGCCTCCTCTGCATTGAATCAGCAGTCTTCAGTGTCTGTGGCCCTGGGACAGACAGTCAGGCTCCCCTGCCAGGGAGGAGGCTTAGGAAGCTATTATTCTCACTGGTACCAGCAGAAGCCAGGCCAGCGCCCTGCACTGTTCATCTATGGTGATAGCAGCCGGGCCTCAGGGGTCCCTGACCGATTCTCCGGCTCCCGCTCTGGTGGAACGGCCACCCTGACCATCACTGGCGCCCAGGCTGAGGATGAGGCTGACTATTTCTGTCAGTCATGGGACAGCACTGGTAACGACCTCACACAGATGGGGAATTGAGACACAAACCCCTTCCCTGTCTGGGTCTCACTCTCCCTGCAGACCCAGGAGGTCTGGGAACAAGGCAGGGCTGGCCCATGGCACCTGGAGCTGAGCCCCCCATGTTGTCCTGTCCTCCCAGCCCTCCAGGTGGGATCTGCAGAGGGAGTGTGGGGAGTGCACTTGGGGCTGCAGGACCAGACTGCCCTGTGTGGGATTAGGGTCAGCTGTTTGAGATGCAGAAAAGTGACTCAAGTGCCAAGACAGACATAAGGAAATATTTGTCCACTTATTAATCTGGATTTCTGTGGAGGTCACTGAGCCTTTCTTTGGTCCAAATGTCCAGGACTAACACCTAGCCCAGTCCAGCTGGCTGAAGTCCTGACAGAGCAGCACCTTGGCATGATGGGATTCTCACAGAGCAAGTCTGTGCCGTGGGCCCTGTGGGATCTGCCCGGCCCCACTTCAGGGCTGACCCACCTCCTCTGCTGGGAGCTGTCACCACCTCAGAGCTGGGCCCCTTCCTCCAGTTCATGCCTCCACCCAGAGAGGTCTGGTTTGATGACAGCCTGAGACCCAGATCCCAGTCTCTGCCTCAATGTACGGACACTTAGAAGTCTCCCAGCTTCTCATGCCCTGGGCAGCCTCCTCCCTCCTTCTGAACTGGCCTGAGCCTGCAGGTCTTCATGGAGACTCACGTCAGGAAAGCCATCTAGGGGCCACCTGTCCTCATATTAGGCATCAAGGTCTGTGGCGGCCACTGTGCACCTGAGAGCTCTGCTTCCCTCCTAAATTCCCAGTGTGAACACCACGTGTCCCAGAAGTTTTTTGGTTCCCTGCATTTTTTTGGAATGAATAATGAGCCTCAAATCCTAGGAGTTCCCAGTTCTCAGAGAGCTGAAGGGCAGATCTAGGCTGAGGTCAATCCCAGGAAGGAGCTGCCGCCCCAGCTGCTCTATGACCCGCATCTCGGGGTGTGAGCTGCACTCCAGGCCCGCCACCGCCACCTCCATGTCCACACACTCTGTCTCTTCATCTCTGAGCAGAAACAGAGACAGAAGAGACTTGGTGAGATTCAGGCCATCACAGTAGACACTGAAGCCGCCGCCACAGTTCATTTACCCTTTTCAATGTGAAAAACATTCATGTCTCCAAAGGACACATAGTTTACAAATAAATTTTAAAAAAGAAAAAAGAAGCTGTAGGCAGAGTTCCTGTGGAAATGCAACTGGGTCTCCATTAGAAAAGTCCAGGGTTTGGGTCCCAGTTCCTCCCTGAGCATGCTGGGTGCCAGTGTGCGTGTCCATGCCCCAGGGGGGCTGAGATGAGGGGACTGTGGTGTGAGGACCTGGGAAAGAGGAGCCGTGGCCCCAGATATCCCGAGAGCCTCAGAGAGGAGACCCGTTCCCATCTCCACAAGCCACATAATCTCCTTAAAAAATCTCCAAGTGACAATAACAGCAGCCATGGTTAGTATGGAAATATCTCATCGATGAGCTTTTAGCAATTGCATATGTAAGTGATGCTATTTTTGAGCTAAGGGATTAAATAAACTATGTTGTTTAAGTGAAGTATGTACTCCTTTTGCATTCACTGTGCTGCCTGGACATCGGGACTCCCCTGAGGCTCCGGGGGGGTCGTTACCGCACAGAACTGCTGTGGACCCTCAGGTGACAGGGGCTGTGGGAGAACCTGGTGCAGGGAGTCCTGCCTCCACCCTCTGGACAGCAGTGTGACTCCTGCCATGACCACATTCTTAGGGACTTTGCTCCTGCTCCCTGCACAAGGGAGACTCACCTGAAAACAGCCTGGGGGAGCCAGGGTGCCGCCCCCAGATGGCAGTCGCTGTGGAGCTGCAGGTCTTGAAGGAGCTGATGCTGGAGAGCTCCCTGCCCTTCTGCATGGCCGGGAGCAGGAGGTGACTGCAGACACAGGAGGGTCCGGCCCCCTCTGTACAGGGAGCACCCGCGGCATTCTCCAGGTTAGATCTTCTTCTACACATGACAGAGAATCAATATATTACTAATGATGGAAATAACACCAAGTACATTAGGTACACACAGTACAGTGGACGTAGGAATCAGAAACAGAAACCCCTTCATAAACTCACAAATGTTTGCAAAGTTACAAACACATTACTACACAGCAAATGGTCCATTGAGGACATTAAGTGGAAATTAGAACGTAGTGCAGAATTGCAAACGAAGACATAATGTGTGTGTGTGTATGTGTGTGTGTGTTCGAGGCATGCATGTACACATGCATATATATGCCCATGCATAGCAATGTACTCACAATTCATGTCTGTATTTCATTATTAAATATGCACACCTAATTTATCTCTAAAATTTGCCCCCTGCACCTATGGGATTTGTTATTAAAATTAAAGTGGAATGGAAGTTTAGCGCCCTTTCCTCCTCTTGGCCTTTGTGAGTACAAGTCTGAAGTGCTTTGTTAATTTCATTCACAGGCATCTAGCCAATAAAGTGACCGTCCATTTTATTATTTCTCCTCTTTGTTTTTATTTCATTGAGTAAAAACAGCCTTGATGTCTCAGAAATGGAATTCTGACTTAATATTTGAAGACACTGCCTATCAGGAGGCGTCCACCAGGGGTCACCACTGACTCACCGTCCTGTGGTACCTGCCCTGAAAGGACAAGACAGAGCTTCTCCCATCCCTGTCCACAGAGCTCAGAGGACAGAGCACCACGACGCAGCAGAGACGCTGTGACAGGAGGGCCCAAGAGGTCTGGGGGAGGGAGGAGAAGGGTGCAGGAGGCAGGGCAGGGAGGCTGAGAGCAGCTCTCAGCGGAGCCTCCTGGACCTTGGGCTCCTCCTACTACTTTCTGGGACTTTGGGGCAATCATGTCACCTCTTATCGATGTTCCTTGGTCATAGGTGAGAGAAGTGATCACAACTTCAGCTCAGGGCTGCTGGGAGTAATTAGGAAACACAGAGTGAAGTTTATGGAGTACATTCACCCAAACTTCCGGATTCTATTATGGACTGAAAAGTTAGTCAGTTCATTCTACATGAACCAGTGGCAACCTGGTGTGACAATTGTCTAGTGGCCACCAGGGGGCACTGTGGGCCTATGGAGACCCTGATAACCAAATTGCCCTGGCAGAGTTCAAGCACAGAGGGCATGACTGAGGCTTCCCCTGAGCCCTTCTGAGGGTGAAATCCACTCTCCACCTGACGCCGCCTGGCCCTCGATCTGGGATTAGAAGTAAGTGCAGAGATCTCACCGCCCACTGCGAAAGGCTATAGTTATAAGTCTTTGCATGCAGAGATTTGCATCGAGGTGAATTAAGTCCTCTTTTTGCAAAACCAAAAACCAATAACGAAGAAAGAACAGAATGACCTAAGTAGGTAATGTGGACAGTAATTTCTCACCCACAGCATCTCACTGGGTGTAACTAGCTCTTATAGAACTCCAATACGCCCTCCTTAAAACAAATGAAGTTGCAAGGCCCGGCCACAGTGGGACACACCGCTGGGATGCTGTGCTCTGCAGGCCGGGCCTACGTGTGACTTGCAGGTTTTATTCTGGCCCAACGGACAGCCGGGCGTGTGGTGCGTGGGAGTAACGCTACTGTGTCAGGAGGCTGAGGAGGGGGTCACTAGCTTGAGCCCGGCCTCAGCAACATGGTGGGGCCCTGTCTGACAAGCAAGCCTGGGCATCGTGTCCTCTCTCACACGGAGGCTGAGGCTTGAGGTACAAAACATGGGGAAACCCTGTCCTAAAAAATAATTAAGGTGAAGAGATGTTCATTTACTAACAGTAACTTCTCAGGCATTCCTCATGATCTGAGCCTTCGGTGTCAGAACCAGGAATCTCTGCCACGCTGCAGGTCAAAATATTACATTCCTTGATTCCCTGAAAAAGAAAATCTCCTGTAGGCACATGGATATTTCCAATCTTCCTAAGTGTGGAATTGCAGCCTCCCATGCCCCAACATAACTCACGAACCCACCAGAGACTGCACAAGCTCTGCCCAGCCCACCCTGGGACACTCTCCACATTGGAGAAGATCTTGGCCAGACCAGAAAAGATACCCAGGAGCAGCCTGAGCCGTGTGCGCATGAGGGCGTGGGTGCCTGTGAGTGTGTGTGCATGTGAGCGTGTGTGTGCTTTTCTGTGTTTGTTTGTGCGTGTGTGTGCGTGTGTCCTGGGGCAGCACTTTCTCGAATCACACAATAGAGTCTGAGATCCTGGGCACAGGCCTTGGGGACAGGCCCATGGGACACCCTCCTGGAAGCCCAGCCCTTCTCTGCTCAGCAGGGAGCCACCGGGTTCAGAGGAGAGCTCGGGGAACCTCCACCATGGCCTGGACCCCTCTCCTGCTCCCCCTCCTCACTCTCTGCACAGGTGCTGCCCCCAGGGCTCAGCCCCACACAACCAGGGACCAGCCTGGCCTGACCTTCAGCTCAGCACAGGGGGTGCTGAAGGGGGTGGGGTCCCCCTGGGGAGTGAGACCCTCAGCCTCAGGCTCACCTCTCCTGTCCTCTCTTGCACGCTCTGTGGCCTCCTCTGCCTTGAATCAGCCGTCTTCTGTGTCTGTGGCCCTGGGACAGACAGTCAAGATCACCTGCCAGGGAGGAGGTATAGGAAGCTACTATGCTGACTGGTTCCAGCAGAAGCCAGGCCAGCGCCCTGCACTGCTCCTCTATGGTAATAACAACCGGCCCTCAGGGGTCCCTGACCGATTCTCCAGCTCCCTCTCAGGCGGAACGGCCACGCTGACACTTACCAGGGCCCAGGCTGAGGACGAGGCTGACTATTTCTGTCAGTCATTGGACAGCAGTGGTGAAGGTGCCACAGTGACACAGGCAGATGGGGAAGCGAGACACAAACCCCCTTCCCTGTCTGGGTCTCACTCTCCCTGCAGACCCAGGAGGACTGGGGACATAGCAGGGCTGGCCCATGTCACCTGGAGCTGAGCCCCCCATGCTGTCCTCTCCTCCCAGCCCTCCAGGTGGGATCTGCAGAGGGAGTGTGGGGAGTGCACTCAGGGC